TGTCCTATGTTCAGTTCCTGATTCTTGAACTACAATAAACGGTGATACACATTCACAAGAACAATCATATGTCTCTTTGCTTTGTGCGCACCGGGGAGTGGGATGGGTTACATTATTAAAGTTCGAAAGTACCCAAAGGCATACCCCCTTTTACCACCACAGATCCACTTCAAGTTATGTTATTGAAATCACTGATTGTTATTGTATCTGTTTGTTTCAAACAGTTGTATTCTATTTTTACAGTTCGGTTCTGCTTTGGAGGGCTGGTGTGGTGAAGCAGTGCTCAAAGACCTACACCACTATTTTTTTCTTTAATTTTTATTAACAAAAGGTGATAAAAAAGGTAATAAAAGTTATCTTGCTATACACTAAGTGTACAGTATCTCTTCAAATACAGGGTTTGGAGGAATAATATCTCCACATAACCCAGAGTTGGGTTGAGCTCTTAGTTGAGTCTTTAGACTGTATACTCTCAGTAACGTTTGCCATTATTATATGTTCCCAGATTTTTTGGTGCCAGGTTTGTGTTGATGGTTTCAGTTTACTTTTCCAAACGGATGCGATTGTTAATTTAGCGATTGTTAATAATGTGGCAATTCCCCCCCCCCTTTCCAAATTGGGAATCAGGCCAATTTAGTAATACCGACTCTGGGGTATGTGGAATTTTGCAACCAGATGTTCATTGCTAAGATCAAAATCAAATCAAAAAATCCTACTCAGCTATGAAGGACAGGGGGTTTGATCAGAGGTTAGCCTGATGCGCAGGATTGCTTAGGAGCAGGGGTCATTTCATAGAAAAAGAGCTAGGGGAACTCATTAGCATAATTCATTAGCATATGCCACACACCCTGACATCACTGGGAGTGTGTCATAAGGCCACACACCCCGCCCCCAACGGTCCCGGCCGCCGCCGCTGGCCTTGCAGCTCCACTGCCGAGCCCCATGAGGGGCCCGGCGGTGGACCTGCAAGGCCGGTGGGAGTGCAAGGAAGCCCCGCGAAGGCCCTCCCTGGCCCCAGGCAGGCAGGGGTGGGGAGAGGCAGGGAGAAAGCAACTTACCCTCCCTCTTCTCCTGCCTCCTCCTGGCTGAATGAGGGCCGGAAGCGGGGCGGCCGGAAGCGGGGGGTGGGGCTTCGTCATGTGCCCCGCCCCCCGTACTTCACCCGGGGGAACTGCGATCCCCCCCGAAATGACCTCTGGCTAGGAGAATAAAGTGGAGGAAAGAAGGGCCCACATATGCCTCCATAAACTCCTCTGAGGAAGGGCGTGATTAAAATGTGGTGAATCAAGCAGCTGGACTAGAAAAGCAAACAATAAAATCATTGATGAATTAGACTAAATAAAAGAGCTAACAAATAG